GCTGGAAATTAAGCACTGTTGAGTCCCTGGCTATTGTAAAAAATAGGCAAGCTTGAGGGGTTGAGAGAAAGAAATTATTCCTAAGCAGCAAAATACATAAAAACCCATCCCAGGGATTTTTCCAAAAATCTTCCTCTTCCTCTACCCTTCCCCCATTTCCAGTTCCTCTAACTGCAATTTGGCACTCACTCTCTGTCTTTTATTCTCTCTCCAAATCGATAGTATCTTATCCTGCAAGGGCAAAGGAGTAGACAGAGGAGATGTCATGCCCTTAGGCCATCATCTAATTGCAGACCATCAAATACAGGGACCTTCCGCTGAGCGAAGCAATTCTACACTTTTATATTAGGTGCTATTTGGAAATGTGTGAATTATATAGTAAGATAACAACCACTCAAAACTTTCTACACAAACATACCTCTGTAATAATGACATCCCTCTATAATATGACCAATACAGAAAAATTCTTAATAACATCATTAAAACATCTGTGAGAAAAGTGCTTTTTTTGAGACATGGCCTCACTGTGCTACCCAGGCTGGAGTGCAGTGGTGCAATCATAGCTCACTGTAGCCTCCAACTCCGGGGTTAACATGATCCCCCTGCCTTTCAAGCAGGTGTAAGCCACCATACCCGTTACTTTTTTAAATTTATTTTTGTAGAAGTGGTCTATATTGCCTAGGCTAGTCCCAAGTGTTCCTTCTGCCTTCGCTTCTCAGAATGCTGAGATAATAGGCATGAGCCACTATACTCAGCCAAAAAGTGTATTTTTGATAGCATGCTTAATATCAACTTCATTCATAAGATAATTGAATTTCAAAATGAAAATAGCAACTATCACTTGAGAGTCTCTAGAATTATGTATGAAACCATGTGTGAATATGTGTATGCATAATATTTTAGGACATATTTTAAATGCAGAAGAACACAAAAAATTATAAATGCCCAATATCCAAAATTGAAAGTTGTCCATATTATTATACTTGCTTCGTTTGTTCTGAATAAGACATGCCAATTTTTTTCTTTCTAGATTGCCATGTCACATGAAATTACCTCATTAGAATCAATCTCTACAAGCACTGAAACTTTTTGTTTTATTTTCTAGCAAATAGTAGGCATTTAATAAAGAAAAGCCTGTCTTCCCAAAGACACAAGAATTGAGGTTATTTTCTTCTAGCATCTCTTCAAATACTTTTACAAATATTTAAATATGCTAAGGAATAACATGCTATATTAAAAATATCATTCTGTGTTTAGTCTTTTTCATTTTGTGCATTCCTGACTAGCATTCTTTAAGCAAAGAGGGGCCTCAATATGTTCATCCAAATATGGCACCATTTTCAGTTAATACAAATATAGAATGCCGTTACTAATGCTTTCCAAATTCCAGAAGATAAGTTTTTATAAAACCCTAAACAGTCCATGCTTGAACTTCTCTATGTAGGTTTTAGATTTTACACAAAACATGGTTCTGAAGAATGTAAAGTTTCAGAATCAAAGAAATGGAAGAAGCAGCAAGAAGAATTTGTTTAAAAAAGAGAAAATTCATATTGCTAATGACTACTGCAAGTGCATTGTAGGACAAAATAAATGGGTAGTTACTTGCCAATGTTGGGAACTTGGATTTTTAGCCTGAGAGGAAGGAGACATAAAAGTTAAGTCATAAAAATGGTAAATACTTTGCATTATATCTGTATCTTCTATGTCAACAACAAAAAAATGTTTTTCTAACCAAAAAGCCCCCACGACTTTATAGTCTCAAATTTGAATTAGGAGTACCAGTATCAACTGGGCATACTTCTTTAAAAAAATAAATGAATGCCTCTTTCTGGCCTCTGAAAAAGACTTAGAAATAAGAACTAACTTAGCACCAACAACCACTGTTTTTACCCAATGGCTTCTAAATATTATCTCTTCTCCACCAGAGACTAGGAGGCTCTTTGGAGAAATGGCTAATTCCAATTCTGTACAAAAAATATACAACATGTCTGGCCTGGAACATCTTGTAATATATATATATATATCAAACTATCAGCATAAAAAATAATAGCAATGGACTGAAACATGTATTACATCAAAGTCAAATATATTCCAAAATCATTGACATTTAAAAAGGGGTGAATCCATGAGTTCATAATGATACTTAAGAAAACACTGTTCACCTTCTAGCTAATTATTATTTTTAAAGTGTTAAGTATAGGCAAAGAACCATGCATTTATTCTGCCTTTGCTATAAATATATATATATTTCAAGGTAACTGAATAGTTGATGAAGGCAAGTTTCTTCTTATAAAAAGTCTTATCAAGCATGAAACCTGGATGTAATAAACCTTCCTAGACCTAAGTGTATTTTATAAGCAATACAGGGTACAGAAAGGCGCAATCAAGCAAAATTCAGTCCAGGGGAAACTCTAGGGAGTAAACAATCTGGTTTCTTCAAAGGATGAATCAATCATAAAAGAAAAAAAGCAAAAGGAAGAAACCTCGTTGTTAAAATAAATTAATAGAAATGTGTAAACCTTATTTTGATCCAGATTCTTAAAAATAAATCACTTACAAGACAACTGGGGAAATGTGAAATTTAACAAGAAGAAATTATTAATTTAGGTGAGATGATGCTGTGTTACTTTTTTTTTTTTTTTTAAGAGATTACTTATCTTTTAGCAATGGTACCATTTCAGTCAGAATTTTTTCAGCCCATATTATTTCCAAATAATTTGGGGTGAAGTGGAAGTTAGGGTATAGAGGAAGCAAGATGAGCCAAGTGTTGATCATTTTTTAGGCAGGGTCATGGGAGTCACTGCACAGTCTTTTCTGCTCATATGTGTTAAAATTGAAAATGACAAAAGAGAAAGACTCAGGAAATATTGAAAAAATAGTAAAATGATAAAAAGCTTCTTGAGGATAGAGATAATTTTCTCCCCAAATATCAAAATACTTTAGAGACATACTCTGTCAACCTTATATGTAAATAAAAATGAAAATACTAATTTAGAGACACATGACCTGACACAGGAAGGAGTTTTTAGGGACAGATCCAAACCACGAGTACTTCAAAACTTAGAGCCTTGTAAAATGCACTGAAATAAAAAGTATATTCAGTAGTGGTGGGAAAATCAGTGTTTTTGAGGCAGGGATCCAATATAAGAGAAACACACAAAACACAAGAGTTTAATGGGAAAATCCTCTTCCTGCCTGATCACTTTTAATAAGCTTTGAGTGACTAACCTCTTCTGCTTAGAGGTAGAACAGTTAATATACAACGTAGAAAAACACAAATGAAGCCGGGCTCCGTGGCTCAGCCTGTAATCCTACGCCTTTGGGAGGCTGAGGTGAATGGATCGCCTGAGCCCGTGGGTTCGAGACCCGCCTGGGCAACGAGACCTCATTTCTACAATAAATCAAAAAAATCAGCCGGGCGTGGTAGCGCATGCCTGTAATTCCAGCTACTTGGAAGGCTGAGGTGGAAGGATCGCCGGAGCCCAGCAGGTCGAGGCTGCGGTGGCCGGGAGTGGCCACTGCACTCCAGGTCTGGGCGACAGAGTAAGACTCCAACTCAAAAAAAGAAAAAAGAAAAACACATATGAACATGCATAAATATGAAAATAAATAGTTTTGTGCTTTGTAATATACCTATATTTCATCCTCCAACCCTCCAAGTCAAGCTTATAAACTTGCTGGTTTTGACAAGCAAAACACAAATAGAACAAACAGGTGCCTTTGTTGGCACTCTAGGTAAATCTTGGCACCTGTGTGGAGTGTGCTAATTAGATACAGGACTAGAGGTGCTTCTTAAAGGTCCTGGAGGAAAGTGTCTGCACGCTGGCTAACAGGTGTCCTGAGAGACCAGGCCTTGTCCTGACAGCCTCTATGGTGAGTTTTGCCACATACAAAGTAAGAACTGGCTTCATAAACATATGCCTGCAAGTCAGGACAGGGAATGGGGGTGAAGGGTGCTTCTGGGGATACACAGCCAATGCATTCTCTAGTTTAGTGATGCTGATACAGACAGGTGGCCAGTGTCTGGTCATATGTCTGAGTGTTGCCTTTTGATTAAGTAGTAGCCAATAACAGTACACCGTGACATGTGAACCCAGCTCTCCAATAAAATTGAATAGTTTACCTGTGTGACTTTCCATTTAGCCCTGCATCTATACTTATTCAATAAAAATAAGAAATTGATACACTGTATCTTGTCCTAAGAGGGGATCAGATCACTGCATGATCAGCTTAGACAGGAAAGATGGCCTAACAACACTCCACAGAAAAGACTGGTTACACTGTGGCTACTTTGGTTGCAATGAGGGTTCTCACTGCAACATGGTTTTATGAGGGGGACCCAAAACCTGGAATTATTTTTTGTAGACCCCTTGTAGTACAGGCTTCCCCTGCTAGGTGAGTGTTCTAGGAACTTACTGGCATCAGTGTACCAGCTAGTGTTGTTGTGAGAGGCTGTGTTTGGTTTCAGTAATTTTTTCTTTTTTTTGAGATTCTTTCAAAGCGTTTGCCCATTTCATCATTTACTCAAACAACCTGTCCAAACCATGCTGAGCTTTCAGCAGTTTTTGACCAAAAACAGCACAGCCTTCATGCCCTCCCTCCCTAGTCACCCAATCTTATCCCGAGCGACATTTCTTTTTTATTCCCTGGATGAAAAAAAGTCCTCAAGGGAAACATTTTGCCCATGTGTTTAGAGGTGAAACAAAAAACAGCAGAAGCCCTAAAAGGCATCAACACTGATTAGGTCAAAAACTGTTTTGAGCAGTGGAAAAAGCGTCATGATAGAGGTGCATCAAACAGAGTACTTTGAAGGTGACTGAGGTTTAAACATAAGAATACACAATTTTTTATAACTAAATTCCATTTTGGGGGGGTCCCATAATATTTTATGCTGTTCATGTATTCATCGATAAAAAAACAGATCTAATGCTCAAGCATTGCCTTCTTTCAGCAAGTCTAATGACGGATTAATTTTTATTAGAAAAATGAAACAAACCTACCTGAAGACTGCGAGGGTCAGAGACCAGAGCACTAATGGTTTCCTCAGCTCAAACTTGGCCCGTTTGCTCATTAGGTGCCGACCACCAAATATAAAGGCAGCGTACAGAGCAGAAAACAGGAAAGATTTCTTCCTGGAAACAAGCAAACAGGATCTTATGAAATAAAGCCAGTTAATTTCATTAGGAAACACCACCTTTTAGGCCCAAGCTTTCCTCTCAACGAAAACATTGAGAACATGCCCCCTCTACCGAAGATGGTCTAGTGGTCCACTAGTGTCCTGTTTAAACCTCCCTTGACAAATCAGGTCATCCAGAAGTTTAACCAACATGTTAAGTAATAATGTCAGGATAGATATATTTTCTTTTCGGGTCCTATGACTAAAAATTTCAATAACATAGCATTGAGGTACAAAAAGTATCCTTTTCAATGAGAATTAATTTTATTCTTTAGAGTTTGTTTAGCCAATTTAGGCATGTGGGTTTTTTTTTTTTTTTGGTCTCACTCTATTGCCCAGGTTGGAGTGCAATGGCACAATCATGGCTCCATGCAGCCTCAAACTCCTGGGCTCCAGCAATTCTCTCACCTTAGTCAGCCTCCTGAGTAGACAGGACTGAGATCTCCTGATATTGCCTAGATTGGTCTTGAACTCCTGGGCTCAAGGGATCCTCCCACCTCAGCCTCCCAAACTGCTGGCATTATAGGCACAAACCACTATACCTGGCCAATACATTAATTTTTAAAATATTTTATTGAAAATATTTGGTGACAAGGCTGTGTCTTGGAACAAGAAAGTCATTTTAAATTGTATCTTCCCAAGTAGACTAATGATATCAAAAAGTGACCTTGGATTAATAATTAATTATTTAAAACATTAAAATGTATGTTACATTACTTATGACTCCTCCACAATGTGGGTTCCTGAAATCCTCTCCACCAAAGAAGGCAGGTATTAAACTTCAATATTATCAGTAATAATAAGCATAATGATTGGATACAAAATGCAGCAGGAAGAACACAGATCCCGATTACACTTGCCTAAAACTTGACTAAATCTAAAATCTGGGACATTCTGCAGGCCAACTGAACTTATTTCTTCAAAAGAAAAGTAAAATGGAATGGAACAAAAATCTGGGACTGTTCTAAATTAAAAACAACTTGAGAAATATAACAACCAAATATATATGGAAAAATTTTTTGATCCTTATCTGAACAAATCAATTTAAAAAGACATTGTTAAAAAAAATCAGAAAATTATTAGGCATAATTTTAAAAGTACTTTTCAGTTATTGACATACACTGAAATATTTATGAGTGAAATTACATGTCCTGTACTTGCTTTAAGATACCCCAAGAAACAAAAAGTAAAAAGTATTAAGGGTGGAGAAGGAAAGCAAGATTAACAAAAGGAACGTGGGGTTCACTCTTCTCTCTCTCTCTCTCTCTCTCTCTCTCTCTCTCTCTCTCTCTCATGTGTTTAAATTTTCCCACAGGAAGGATTAAAAATAAAAAGATTCATTATAAAAGAAAATATCTACATAAGCAATTCTTCGAAACATCTGATAGGACAGTATCAGGATGGTCACTGTTGAAGTTGCTATGTTCTGAGTCATAGGCCTTGGTAGTCAGGTTTTGATAGGAGTTAGTCAGAAATGTACAAGAAACCTAAAGTAGAATCTTCAGGTCCTTTTAAGCCTGCTGGTTTGTTACTGTACCAGGTAGATCTTTTAAAATCTCAATATATTTTATTTTTTTATTTATGTATTTATTTCAGTTGGAGTCTCACTCTGTCGCCCAGGCCATTTTTTTTACTGTACCAAGTAGAATTTTTAAAAATCTCAATATATTTTATCTATTCATTTATTTAAGATGAAAACTCACTCTGTTGCCCAGGCTGGTTTGTTATTGTACCAAGTGGAATTTTTAAAAAATCTCAAAATATTACACTTATTTATTTGAGTTGTTTATTTATTTATTTGAGTCGGAGTCTAATTTTGTCACCCAGGTTGGAGTACAGTGGCACAATCACAGCACATCGCAGCTTCGAGCTCCTGGGCTTGGGCTCAGGCAATCCACCTACCTCAGCCTCCTGAGTAGCTGGGACTACAGGCACGTGCCACCACATTGGCTCTGTGCCAAGTAGAATTAGGCAATAACACAGATGCCATAAAATAAAAATAATAAACAAAACCAACAAGCTATAGTACTATGATTTAGTAGAAAGCAATAGAAGCCTTGCAAATAATTTGAGCATACTTCCTTAGAAAGCAAGGTTTCTCTTAAAATGGGTCTTCCCAGTCAATTAGATCAATAGGGAAAGGGTTGAAAAATAAGTTACGAAGGCAGGGCGGGGAGGGGGGCGAAGGAGTTAAAAAAAAAAAAAAAGAAAAATAAGTTACAAGACGTAATACCAGAAGCAAAATGTGTTAACCTAATGAGTATTATTTGTAAAATGCTTCATAGATTTTTCCCTCTAACTGCTGACATGTATTGCTGACTCATAAGAGATCTTATTATTTACGCAAGCAACATTCCTACGTAAATGAATGCAAGTGGCCTACTTGGTGAATGCCAGCACATAAAGCACTGATTATAGAAATCAACCCATAAATAAATGTTGAATAAATCACTTCCATTGATGTTTGCAAACTCTTTTCTTGGACACACTAGGCCTGGCACACAGTAGATGCTTAATATATTTGTTGAATGAACATGGTATTGGTCTATCAGTTTTTCTGATGGGGAAAATAATTCTACATGTGTGTGCACAGTTGGTGCTTAGCAAACACTGAACAAATGAAGAGTTATAAACATTGAAAAAAGTTATGCCTTCTGTAATGTATTAATAACTAAAGAATGAAATATTCAGTAAAACACTATGATACATTTTTGTCTTCTAGAAAGACATACTATCTCTGTACTTCAAAGAGAAGTGAAAAGTGAGACAATTTAATGGAAACTTTAACTAGTAAACATTTCAGAAAGAAAGTACTGTTGACTATTTATATGACTAGTACTTCTGACACACACACACACACACACACTCTCTCTCTCTAATTCTCCTCTGAAATTTACAAGGGCATGGAATTGAATAATCTAAGAGTCAGAATCACTATCTCCAATTATGCTTATATAAGCAAGGATTTGTTAAAAGAAAATTCTATCAAATTAATGTAGTAATATGAAATAGGATATTCTTTTTTCTAAATTATGAAAGCAATAACAATAATCACAGTGTTATGATTTACAGTGATTTCTACAAGTAGACATCGTGCTAAAAAGTTTTGCCATGTAATCCTCAAAACTGCCTCATGATACAGGTAAAGTATTATCGCCATTTCATAAACAAAGACACAGGTTTTTAGGTTAAGTAGCCCCAGATCTCCTTGCTCTCCTGTGGTAAAATTTCAGAAGAAAAAGGGGTGTGTATAGTGTGTTATTTTATGAGCATGGAAGTATTCCTTAACCCCCTCCTGCTGAATTACATGATCAGTGTGTAATGTGTAGAGCACTGTTTCACTGTGAAAAGACAAAGAATATCTTCCCTTCCCTTCACGTTTCAACTGCCATATTTTCTGTCTCTGGACCGTTTTTCATCCAAACCCTCTTTGCATCCTTGAGAACACAAATTAACAATATATATGGCTGAAAAAACATCCTCATTGTGAGTTTTCATTACTCTTCTTATTTAATTCTGATTTTTATTATGACTGGATTAACTGTATTGTTTGCAATTATAAACAAACCAAGTTAAATAAATGTCTTCATACAATCCGATCATTCTGGTCAGTAGGAAAAAAGTAAGGTGCTTCCAGAACTAAGAAAAGATGAAAAATCTTCCCTCAGTATTTTTTTCTCATTTCTAGAATGAGGATTAGGCCTAATGCACTGCTCACTTCCCAGCAAAGCCCATTCTCTTTTCCCCATGTTTTTTAAAATCTTCTTTACAAACCATCAATTCAACAGCCAGGGCAACCAAGACAGTCAATATAGAGATGCAGAGTTTAATAACTGCAAGAAACCTTAGAGATAGAGCTCAATCTCCTCATTCTACAGGGGAATAGGGAGCCTAACGATAATAGTCACTTGTGGTCACATAGCTACACTCTATACATTGATCAGTACTACCCAAAATTGTCATGGCTGTGGTCAAGGAGATTGGTGAATATAAAATTCAAATGATGCTTTGGGTTAGATTAGAATTATTATTATTTTTTTAAACTACTTGTACCCCCAGAACTATTTATTGTTATTGTTTTTTAAAATGATTTAGATTAGAATTAAACTTAAGCATCTTCTATACATGTTAGTTGCTTAAGGAAACACTTAATGCTTACTTCTTCAATTGAGTAATCATTTATGGTTGAATGTACTACTGCTTTTCCATATTGCTTAGAAGATAAAATTTTCTTTAAAAAACTGGGCAATGGGAGAGGGGAGGCACACCTCATCAACAAGAGTACCTGCATAATGAACATTTGTATACCTAACCCTGAATTGTAGCCCATATCTTTAAAATAAAAAAACTAAAAGTTAAAAAAAAAGAAACTCTAGAAAAGGTAAAACAATATTATTGATAGACAGTGGTTTCCTGAGGTCGAGAAGTAGAGAGATGGTGTTCAACAACAAAGGAGCAGAAAAAAACTTTTTTGGGTGATGGTACTTTTTTGTATCTTGATTGTGGTGGTTACAAGACTGTAAACATTTGTTAAAGTTTATCTAATTATCCTATTAAAATTGGTGAATTTTACTGCATGCAAAATTACAGCTCAATAAAGCTGGTTTAACAAAAAAAGTAAAAAAAAAAACTGGGCAATTTAAGCGAATTAAAATTGCCTTTGCTTTCTGGCATCTCTCTGTAAAGGTTCAATTATAATCTAGACAAATAATGACTTGCTAACCCACTTCGTTTTTAAAGTGAATAGATGACCCCCCAATGTCTCAGTGATAAGTAATATTTCATATTCTGGCAGGCCTCTATAGGTGGATAAAATGGTAACACCACACTGTTTTATTATCAGATAATTAGTAATTTCTGAATGGCATGAACTCTTCTTGTTTAATAAATTTTAAATGTACATCATACAGCATAACCCTTAATTAAAGGGACTTAATAAATACTTTCATGATGGTG